TTCTGTTCTGTTCCGTTCCGTTCCGTTCTATTCTATTCTATTCATATGGTTGTGAAGTGAATCCAGCTTCCCCATTGACTTTACTTGTGAGAAGGTCACAAAAGAGGATCATGTGATCCCAGGGCACTGCAACCATCATAAATATGAATCAGTTGCCAAGCATCCGAATTTTGATGACGTGACCCTTGGGGATGCTGCACGGTCGTAAGTTTGAAAAATAGTGCTAAGTCACTATTTTCAATGCTGTTGTAACTTTGAACTGTCACTAAACGAACTGTTGGAAGTTGAGGACGGCCTGCGCTATATTTATTTTTGGGGGGTCAGAATTATTCCTGCTTTTCTTCCAGGTGCTCAAGGCCGTATACAGATACTCAATGACTTGCAACCGTTTAGTGACCTGAAATGAGTGACTGGTCCTCACACTTACGACTGTCCCAGCATCACTGTGCTCATGTGATTAAAATTTGGGTGCTTGGCACCTAGGATGCATTTAACAATGATTGTGGCATCTCGCAATCCTGTGATTGCATTTGCATCCTTCCCAACTGGCTTCCAACAAGCAACGTTAATGAGGGAGGCTGGATTTGCTTAACAACGGTGACAAAAGGGTCTCCTGCCTGAGCAGGGGTTTGGACCAGAAGACCCCCAAGGACCCTCCCAATCCGGTTGTTCGGTATTCTGAGATAGGGGTGCGAGAGCTATTCTGTTCTCTTCTGTAAAATCAGGTGCAAATCACTTCACAACTGCTCTCCTTAGCAGCAAAAATTCTTGTCCCAATTGTGATCATAAGTCGAGGACTCCCTGCAGATAGATCCCCCCCCTCTGTAATTTCTTCCCCAACAACAACCCTGTGAGGTATGCTGGGTTGAAAGAAAGGGAATGGTGGGTCCAAAGTCGACCCATGACTTCCACGTCCGAGGCTGGCCTTGATCACCTCCAGGTTTTAGCCGGAGAGTTTTGCTACCCCACCTCGATTCTCACCATTAGGCTTGACCGCTCTCCGTTCCAGCCACAGCCGCCCTTTGGAGGTCTGGGGGAACTCATGCAAGCAGCCCCCCCTCAGCTTTGCTACTTTGGCAAGGTCTCTTTGGGGCACCCCGTTTGCCTGAGACTGTGTCCCGGAATATTGTTGTAATGTCCACACAAAAGGGTACAACTTACATCACATCATCACAAGGTCACTTTCAACGTTTGCAATCCCCCCCCCCTATGGATGTTGGTATTTCTTCAAATGCAAAAGGATCTCGAAAAAAGGAGAATATGCGTAGCTCAGGGTTGAAATGAGCGGCTCACTGAGCTTCGTGGTTTTCTTGCAGACATTTCATTACCAAACTAGGGAACATCATCGGTGCTAGAAGGGAGGAGGAGGAGGAGGAGGAGGAGCAGGAGGAGGAGGAGGAGGAGGAGGAAAATGTCTGTGGGGTCCTTGGTGTTCTCTGAGCTTGGTTATTTCTTGCAGACGTTCCATGACCCAACTAGGGGGCATCATCAATGCTACAAGGGAGGGGGTGTGCCAGGAGGAGGAGGAGGAGGAGGAGGAGGAGGAGGAACAGGATGGGGTCCTTGGTACTCTCTGAGCTTGGTGGTTTTCATGCAGACATTTTATTACCTAGCTAGGCAACATCATTAGACCAGAACAAGTTCCTTCCAGCAGGCAATGTCTAGATAAGCAGGGATCACCACCAGACAAACAATCAGGCAGAAACAATACTCCAATCAAAGAACCACCAAGGAGAAACATCACTCCCCCCCCCCCAAAAAAAAAATACTGGCAGGGCAAGTTATTGTACATAAACATGGAGCAAACCCCACACTCCCTTACGCGGATGATGTTACCTAGTCAGGTCATGAAACGGTCTGCAAGAAAATAACCAAGCTCAGAGAGCACCAAGGATCCCACAATCTGGGATCTGAGCCTATCCTTCATCTCTCCTGAGCCGTGTTTGGGCTTCTCCATATCATTTGCAGTGCCCCCGTTGCCGACTCTGAACCTTGGACCCCCGCTTGAGGAAGGTCAGGGCCGCACGTTGGCTGCCTCCTGCACAGCAGAAGGGAACCCCATCCCCACCGTGACCTGGGAGACCGAAGTCCACGGAACAGCTAAGAATCAGGAATCCTCGCATTCCCGCTCAGCCTCGGTTACCAGCGAATTCTACCTGGTCCCGGGGCGCAGCATGCACGGCAAGGCCTTGACCTGTGTGGTTTCCCACCCAGGACTGCAGCATCAGAAGAGGATCACCCACACCCTCAGTGTGGCCTGTAGGTACCTGTTCTCACCTTCACCTGGGCCTCTACCATGCCGGTCCTCCCATGGCCGTCTTTTGTAGACCTTCCATGCCAAGGGCATAGACTGCCCTCATGTGGCACTTGAATTTGGGACTGACCCCTGGGCTTTATGTGTGTGAACAGGTGGGGATCTAAGCTTGTCATGCTCTGCAGATGGGGGAACAGCAGAAACACCCCCAGCTCACCAGGACGGGAAGTCAGGGCATTTTGGGGGTCCCATCAATCAGGGATGTCCATCTGTGGGGCCACCAAAAAGGGCCTTCTCGGTGGTGGCCCCTTCTCTATGGAGCATCATTCCTCCAGAGGTTTGGAGGTGGCCTCCATTATGTCGGTTTCCCAAAAGGGCCTAAAACTGCGTTTTCACCCGTGGTCCTGGGGACCCCGAATGCAGACGGCGCCGATAAAGTGGCTGATCTGATTGGGGGCTGCTGCCATGGCCAGAGGGGGAGTTTTATGGAATTTTATGTTGTGACTTTTAATGTTGTCAGGAACCTGAGGTCACCTGTTTGTGAACTGGGCAGCCATATACATTTGCGATGATAGATAGATAGATGGATGGATGGATGGATGGATGGATGGATGGATGGATGGGAGACATAGGTAGATAGATAGATGATTGATAGGTAGATGAGAGAGAGAGAGAGAGATATGATGGATAAATAGATAGGTAGGTGATGATACAGACAGACAGACAGACAGATCTGCTTGTTGTCTGTAGTTGTAGTCCTGGTGATCATGTTCTCTTTGGCTTGAGGTCTGACCTGGGGTGTTAATTGTGGCTTTGTCCTGTTCACCACGACTTTTCTACCTTCTTCTCCATTAAGAAGCTTCAGCCCAAGGACCTGGTTACAAGGGCTGTGCCACATGGGTATATTCTCCCCCATCCCTTCTGTTTGCCTAACTTGCATTCCCTCCCTCGTTCAGACCTCTCTGATGCCTCCATCCTGGGTCACGAGCCGGAGCAGGACTGGATGGAAGGCAAGGAAGGGGCTTCTTTGAAGTGCCTCGGAGATGGGAACCCACCCCCCAACTACAACTGGTCTCGGTGAGTCTGGTGCGATGCCTTTAGCCTTGATTCCTGGCTTATTAGTGTAGCCTAGTAGCAGAGGGGGCAAGGATTTGAAGTTGGTTTGTTCAGTGGGCTGTTGGTTAGAACAGGGGTCTCCAAACATGGCACTTTAAGACCTGTGGACTTCAACTCCCAGAATTCCCCAGCCTTCTTTCCTTACGTCCTACCTATCTCTCTTCTCTATTTTTCCTTCCTTCCTTCCTTCCTTCCTTCCTTCCTTCCTTCCTTCCTTCTTCCCTCCTTTCCCTTTCCCTGCCTTCCTTCCTCTTCCTCCTCGTTCCTCCTTCCTTCCTCCCTCCCTCCTTCCCCTTTTCCTTCTTTCCTTCCTTTCTTCCTTCCTTCCCTCCTTTCCATTTTACTTCCTTCCTTTCTTCCATCCTTCTTTCCTTCCTTTCCTCCTCTTTCCTTCTTCCTTCCCTCCCTCCCTCCCTCCCTCCCTCCCTCCCTGCAGGGCAAACAGGTAATCCTGAAGTTATAACCACAAGGGGACCAGAATTTCCTAAGCAAGGCGGTGGTCAAGTGAGTCTCTGAATGAATGGCCGTAAGTCAAGGACCTCCTACGCCTGCATATAAAAACCAGCCAGAGTGCTGATTGCCCCAGTGTGCCTTTTTAAATGATATCCCCTGGGTGCCTCCACTTCTTCCCAACCCCAAGACAAGAGGTTACCCAGGAGGCTGCCCCATAGCCACCCTAATCCTGCCAGCCAGTGCAGGGCACCAGATCTGGCAGGGCTGCCACAGCCATCTCCCACGGGTCCCACGGAAAGCAATAGCTCCATAAACACAGCTTCTTCTCGCCCGTCTCGTAAGCTGCCTTTGTGTTTGGGGAGGGACCAGCTGGGACTTGCCGTGGGTTTCGGGTAAGGAGCCTCAGGGCAAAATGCAGCTCGTGGCCTTTGTGGCAAGCTGGGAAGGAACAGCCAAGTCAGCACGGCTGGGGGGGCTGGGAGGCTTCCTGGGGGTGCGGCCGACAGGAACACAATGCCGTTGCCAGCTGCCGCCCTGCAGGATTTGTCACACGGCAGCCGAAGGGCCTCGGAGCAGCCCAGGTTGGCAGCCTGGTGGCCTGCCCAGAACGTGGTCTCCTTGGCTCGATGGCCATAAAGGACACATGCCTCTCCTTGCTGGGTTCTGAGAGAGGCTTTCTCTAGAACAATTAACCAGTGGAACAACCTGCCTCCAGAAGTTGTGAGTGCTCCAACACTGGACGTTTTTAAAAAGAGGCAGGACAGTCACTTGTCTGAAATGGTCTAGGCCAGGGCCTTTCAACCTTTTCACCCATTGTACCACTTTTAGGATAGGGCAGTATCCGAGTACCACCAGTCGCCTAGCAAGGTGTCAGAAACTTGATGAACCCCCCCCCCCAAAAAAAGGAAAAAAGTGATAAAGTACAGGTAGTCCTCGACTTACAACAGTTCACTTAGTGACTGTTCGAAGTTACAATGGCACTGAAAAAAGTGACCCCCAGGGCACAGCTGAGCAAGACACCTGCCTGCCCACCCGGTGGCGCTCTTCCTCCTGTCCGAGGTTTTCATTGTTGTGAGCATTTCTGTTGAGGATTGGCAGCGGGGGTGGGATGGGGGGGTGTTTGGTTTTTATTCCCCCCGTCTGCTGGGTGGTTGCAGCAGGTTTTGGTCACTTCACATGACCCTGGGACACTGTGGCCGTCATAAATATGAATCGGTTGCCAAGCATCTGAATGTAAATCACAAGACCCTGGAGATGCTGCAACATTCCAGCTGATCGACGCTTCTTCTGGGCTCAGCAGAAGCGCCAGGATCAGTGCCAAGCTCCAGCTGGAGACTGGCACTGATCCTGGCGCTTCCGCTGAGCCCTGACAGCCCTGCAGCTCCAGCCGTCTCTCGCTCAGGCTTGTGCGGTGCTGCCACCGGTTCAGCTCATTCCCCTCCCCCATTACCACTTTTCTAGGATGGTCGCGTACCTCTTGCCAGGTGCCAATGTACCCCAGGTGGTACCGATTCCACTGGTTGAAAAGCCCTGTTCTAGGGTTCCCTGCCTGAGCAGTGGATTAGACTCAAAGGTCCCTTCCAACTCTTTTATTCTGCATTCTGTAAGGGGACTGGAGGATTCTGTATAATGAATGCTTTCAGGAATTAGGTATGTCTAGTCTAGCGAAGAGAAGCACTAAGGGTGATATGAGCTTGGGCAGGGGGCTGGACTAGAAGACCGCCAAGGCAAGAAAAACCAAATATACAGGTATAGAATAGGTGGTACCTAGCTCAATAGCAGTAATTGTGAGAGGGATCTAGATGTCCTAGTGAACAACCACTTAAGTATCAGCCAGCCGTGTGCAGCAGCTGCCAAAAAAGCCAATGCAATCCTAGGCTGCATCCACAGAGGGATAGTTTCAAGATCACTTGAAGTGGTAGTACTGCTTTATAAGGCCTTGGTAAGGCCATACTTGGAATATAGCATCCAGTTCTGGTGGCCATGATATAAAATAGATCTTGAGACTCTAGAAAGAGTGCAGAGAAGAGCAACAAAGATGATTAGGAGGCTGGAGGCTAAAACATAGGAAGAGTGGTTGCAAGAATTGGGTAGGTCTAGTTTAATGAAAAGAAAGACCAGGAGTGACATGACAGCAGCCTTCCAATATTTGAGGGGCTGCCCCAAAGAAAAGGAATCAAGCTATTTTCCAAGGCGCCTGAAGGCAGGACAAGAAGCAGCGGATGGAAGCTAATCAAGGAGAGAAGCAACCTGGAATTGAGGTGAAATTTCCTAACAGTGAGGACGATTAACCAGTGGAACAGCTTGCCACCAGAAGTTGTGGGCGCTCCATCACTGGAGGTTTTCAAGAAGAGACTGGACAGCCACCTGTCTGAAATGGTCTAGGGTCTCCTGCTTGAACAAGGGGTTGGACTAGGAGACTCTGTTATTCTGTTATTCTTCACTTCAAGACTGCTGAGAGTTAGTAAATGCACCATCTTCTCTATCACACCACCTGCCCTTTGGAGCACCCCAGCCCCACCCCGAGACCCACATGGATCCCACCCTGCTGACATTAGAAAAGCCTTTGAAGAAAAAAAAAACTTGGCCAGGTTCCCAGGCCTGGAGCTGGGGTGGGCGTCGAGCCCCTGTGGGCGGGTTTGTCCTATGGTATGTTCCCCGGACAGGCACGGCTGTTTTTGAACCCTCCGCTTCCTGCTTCTCTCTATTTTAATTACGTTTGCAGTTTGACAGCCTCACATTAAAATAAATGATATGAAGCAACATTTGCACATATCCACACTCACCGGGTAGATTCCCAGAAGCAAATACAAGAAGTCCTTGAGTTAAAAACATTCATTTAGCACTGAAAAAAAAGTGACTTACAACCAGCTCTCACACTTATGCCCGTCACAGCATCCCCCACGGTCTTGTGATCAGAATATTGTATTTGTGTCAATTGCAGTATCTCAGGCTCAGGTGATTTCCATTTGCAATCCATCCGTTTCTGACAAGCAAAGTCAGTGAGGGAAGCTGGGTTTGCTTAACAACTGCTGATTCACTTAAGAACTGCAGTGATTTGCTTAACAACCTTGACAAAAAAGGCTACACAGAATAACAGAGCTGGAAGGGACCTTGGAGGTCTTCTAGTCCAGCCCTCTGCTCAAGCAGGAGACCCTATACCTTTTCAGACAGGTGGCTGTCCAGTCTCTTCTTGAAAACCTCCAGTGATGGAGCGCCCACAACTTCTGGTGGCAAGCTGTTCCACTGGTTAATCGTCCTCACTGTTAGGAAATTTCACCTCAATTCCAGGTTGCTTCTCTCCTTGATCAGCTTCCATCCGCTGCTTCAGGGGCTTTGGAGGACAGGTTGGCACCCCAGAGGGTGTCTTCTCTGTGCCAGTCTCTCAAATACTGGAAGGTGGCTGTCATCAGAATCAGGAGTGACTCACTTAACAACTTCCTTGCTTAGCAATATAAATTCTGGTCTAAATTTGTGGTCGTAAGTCAAGGACTTCGTCAGTTGCTCTCTAATGCAAGGATCCAAACAACGGCTTCTGGTCGCCATTCCTGGGAAGAATGGACCATTTTTAAAGGCCCAGGAAGCAATGACAAACATGCGTTTGAAGAAACATAGAATTGTCGAGCTGGAAGGGACCTTGGAGGTCTTCTAGACCAACCCCCTGCCCAGGGGAGACATTAATGTCTTGTGGCCTGTGCATATAAAGCCCTTCTTCAGAGCCCCCAGTGTGTCCTTTCTTTTTTAAAAAAAATACAGATAGCCTTTCCCCATCAAACTGCACATTTGGGCAGGTCTGCTGCATGCATCCATGCGCACGCGAGGCCGTGGACTGGGGTTAAGATTTGGGTTGGGGTTTGAATTAGGGTTTGGGGTTGGGGTCGGGGTTAGGGTTGGGGAGGGGGTGCAGCAGTGGCCCAGGCTGATATGCTCCCGGCAGCTCCGATGCTGCTGGAATCCGCATGTGCAGAGTTTGGGTGGGGCCCAAACAGGTTTCAGCACCGGCTCCGCTAATCAGGTCACCGTGGGAAAAAGGAAGGCATTCCTTTGATTTCAGCACCTATTGTTGATGATGTCATGGCTCCCTCCCCCCCCCCCCATTTCTCTTCCCTGTTAACACCAGTCACAACATGTCCTTGGGGTGGAGGAACAGCCAGGGAAGGGAGAGAAAGAGAGTCAGCCGCAACTGCACTTTCCCCCTTGAGTTATTTGAACCAGCAAAAATCATAACCCAGGGGTCAGCAAGGTACAGGCGGTCCTCGGCTTACAACCGTTCATTTAGTGACCATTCAAAGTTACAAAGGCGTTGAAAAAAGTGACTTTTCACACTTGCGACCATTGCAGCATTCCCCCATGGTCACATGATCAAAATTCAGACGTTTGGCAGCTGACTCACATTTATGACGGTCACAGTATCCCGGGGGTCATGTGATCCCCTTTTGCGACCTTCTCTCAAGCAAAGTTTTTGGGTAAGCCGGATTCATTTAACAACTGGGGCAAGGAAGGTCGTAAAATGGGGCAAAAGTACAAGGACTGGTTATAAGTCACTTTGTTAGTGCCATCGTAACTTGGGATGGTCACTAAATGAATGGTCATAAGTCCAGGACCACCTGTTCCTCTTTTATTTCTCAAAATAAGCCTCGGTTTTTAGCCTGCTGAAAATCTTTGTCACCGTCAACATTTTTCTGACCCCTTGAAGAGGTTGGGCCCCGCCCTGCCCAGGTTTTGACCAAGGCAGGAAAAAAAAAGTTTTTAGTGCTCATTTTTCATCTAGATTATTAGATAGATTAACAGAGTTGGAAGGGACCTTGTAGGTCATCTAGTCCAACCCCCTGCCCAAGCAGAAGTCCCTACATCATTTCTGACAGAGGGCAGTCCAGTCAATCTAATTGTTTTCGAGCTATTTCTTCCCAACTGTTGCACCAAAAGCCAGTGTAGGAAATAGCTTATAAATATTTAAAATAAAGGGTGAGGGGGAAAAATACTATTATTAAATAATGAGCCGGGTGAGTTGCAACCCCTTCATTGCACTAAGGAAAGCATGAGCCTGGCGCACGCATGAATGGGTGTTGCATGCTAAAACCTGAAGAATGAATATTAATAACTCGCCCTAACTAGGCTGCCCTGCAGCTCCCATAAATAGGAGAGTAATTTATCCGTGGTAGAAGTCAAGGAAGAGAGACATCCTGTGGGATGCTGTTCAGAAATACTTGCATCTCTGAGCTCCTAGTGTGCCTGCATGATTATGCTGTCTATGAGGATTGGGGTCTCGCTCGTTCTGAGCTCATGACATGCAATTGTTGGTGACTAGGTCCGGGTTCCGAGCTTGGGTCACCAGTCCCTTGTGGGGTGATGCTATCTGCAACATCTGGGGATGGGATGGGATGTGGGGCAGACCTCTGGGAGGTGGGGTGAAGAGATGCTGCCTGGGGGATAGTCAGATAAGAGACGGCTGAGCCCTCAGCTGCATAACGGGTGGATGCAACTCGGAAGGGAGGCTGCTTAGCCTCCCAAGATTGTAAAATAGACGGTGGGAGATTTGTCCTTTCAGACTTGCGAGATTTTGTTCATGTAGCCTTACAATAAAGTGGAATTGGTGTATCTGGTTCTGTTTCCTGTCTGTCTTTTCCTTTCCTTTCCTTCTCTTCCCTTTCCCCCTCTCCTCCCCTCCCCTCCCCTCTCCTCTCCTCTCCTTTCCTTTCCCTGTCCCTTTCCCCTCTCCTCCCTTCCTCCCTTCTTTCCTTTCCTTTCCTTTCCTTTCCTTTCCCCTTTCCCCTTTCCTCTTTCTCCTCTCCCCTCTCCTCTCCCTTTCCCTTTCCTCTTATGTCTCCCTTCTTTCCTTCCGTTTCCTTTCCTTCTTTTCCCTTTTCCCCCTCCCCCTCCCCTCGCCTTTCCTTTCCTTTCCTTTTCTTCCCTTCCCATTTCCTTTTTCCTTCCCCTTTCCCCTTTCCATTCTTCTCTCCCCCTTTTCTTTTCTTTTCTTTCCCCTTTCCCCTCTCTCCTCTCCCCTTTCCCCTTTCCTTTCCTTTCCCTTTCTGTTCTCCTCTCTCCCTTTCTTTTCTTTTCTTTCCTTCCCCCTCTCCCTTCCCCTCTTCTTTCCTTTCTTTTCCTTTCCTTTCCTTCCCTTCCTTTCCCCTTTCCCCTTTCCCCTTTCCGTTCTTCTCTCTCCCTTCTTTTCTTTTCTTTTCTTCTTCCTCTCCCCTCCCCTTTCCTTCCCTTTCCCCTCTCCCTCCTCTCCTCCCCTCCCCTCCCTTCCCCTTCCCTTCCCTTCCCTTTCCCCTCTCTTCTTTCCTTCCCTTTCCTTCTCGCAAGTCCTGTAAGGGCCAGCAAGTTTCATGGTTCACTTCCTTTTCCGCCCTAACCTTCTCTGCTCTCTGCCACAGGCTGAACGAGCCCCTTCCCAGGGGAGTGAGGATCAAAGGGGACACCTTGCTCTTCCAGAGACCCCTCAGCTCTGAAGATGGAGGGGTTTACATCTGCCGAGTGGCCAACAGCTTTGCAGCCAAGGAAGTGAGGGCTACTGTGGGCATCAAAGGTGGGTTTGGATGGCAACATCTGGATTAGTCCATAGGCCTTCCTACCTTGCCCGGTTTTCAATCCGGAGAAAAGCGGTTCCTGTTTGCACTGTCCCAGGAACAACTGGATGAAGGATGTTTGAAACAGGCAGAGGTACAATTGGCCCCAGAGAATTCATTCTTCCTTCGTGCTTGAACTCGTCTTTCTTTCGGGCCTGCTTAAGGCAATTGAGAGTCATATTACAGGCAGTCCTCGACTTACCACAGTTCATTTAGTGACCATTCAAATTTACAACAGCACTGAAAAAAGTGAATTAAGACCGTTTTTCCCACTTACGACTATTTCAGCATCCTCATGGTCACGTGATCCAAATTCAGATGCTTGGCAATGGTTCACATTTATGATGGTTGCAGCGTCCCAGGGTCCTGTGATCCCCTTTTGTGACCTTCTGACAAGCAGAGTCAATGGGGAGGCNTTTCCTCTTATGTCTCCCTTCTTTCCTTCCGTTTCCTTCCGTTTCCTTTCCTTTTCCCTTTTCCCCCTCCCCCTCCCCTCCCCTTTCCTTTCCTTTTCTTCCCTTCCCATTTCCTTTTTCCTTTCCCCTTTCCATTCTTCTCTCCCCCTTTTCTTTTCTTTTCTTTCCCCTTTCCCCTCTCTCCTCTCCCCTTTCCCCTTTCCTTTCCTTCCCCTCTCCTCTCTCCCTTCTTTCCTTTCCTTTCTTTTCCTTTCCTTTCCTTCCCTTCCTTTCCCCTTTCTCCTTTCCCCTTTCCGTTCTTCTCTCTCCCTTCTTTTCTTTTCTTTTCTTTTCTTCTTCCTCTCCCCTCCCCTTTCCTTCCCTTTCCCCTCTCCCTCCTCTCCTCTCCTCCCCTCCCCTCCCCTTCCCTTCCCTTTCCCCTCTCTTCTTTCCTTCCCTTTCCTTCTCGCAAGTCCTGTAAGGGCCAGCAAGTTTCATGGTTCACTTCCTTTTCCGCCCTAACCTTCTCTGCTCTCTGCCACAGGCTGAACGAGCCCCTTCCCAGGGGAGTAAGGATCAAAGGGGACACCTTGCTCTTCCAGAGACCCCTCAGCTCTGAAGATGGAGGGGTTTACATCTGCCGAGTGGCCAACAGCTTTGCAGCCAAGGAAGTGAGGGCTACTGTGGGCATCAAAGGTGGGTTTGGATGGCAACATCTGGATTAGTCCATAGGCCTTCCTGCCTTGCCCGGTTTTCAATCCGGAGAAAAGCGGTTCCTGTTTGCACTGTCCCAGGAACAACTGGATGAAGGATGTTTGAAACAGGCAGAGGTACAATTGGCCCCAGAGAATTCATTCTTCCTTCGTGCTTGAACTCGTCTTTCTTTCGGGCCTGCTTAAGGCAATTGAGAGTCATATTACAGGCAGTCCTCGACTTACCACAGTTCATTTAATGACCATTCAAATTTACAACAGCACTGAAAAAAGTGAATTAAGACCGTTTTTCCCACTTACGACTATTTCAGCATCCTCATGGTCACGTGATCCAAATTCAGATGCTTGGCAATGGTTCACATTTATGATGGTTGCAGCGTCCCAGGGTCCTGTGATCCCCTTTTGTGACCTTCTGACAAGCAGAGTCAATGGGGAGGCCAGATTCACTTAACAACTGGGTTATAACTTAACAACTGCAGTGATTCCCTTAACAACTGAGGCAAGAAAGGTCATAAAATGGGGCAAAATTCACTTAACAAATGTCTCACTTAACAACAGAATAATTGGGCTCAATTGTTGTCATAAGTCGAGGACAACCTATATAACCCTCACCTCCATGCCACATCTGGCTTGTGTATATTTTTGCCAGTTATGAAAGCAATCCTTAGAAAAATATAAAGGCGTGTAGCTTAAGACACTGGGAGATAGTGAGTTCTAGTCCCAAAGTTCTAAACACAAAGCCAGTTTGGTGACCTTGAGCTGGTTGCTTTCTCTCAGCCCTAGAAAGGAGGCAATGGCTAATCACTTCTGGAAAACCTTGCCAAGGAAACTGCTGGGACTTGTCCAGGCAGCTTCTGAGAATCGGATATGGCTCAACGGAATTAGAAAAAAAATATCTCTGCCCTTCAAAACAGAAAAATGAAACCGGTCTATAATTTCTGATTCTTCTGAGCTTGACCTGAGCTGCTGTGACCTTCCTGTCTCACCCCCAGGACTCCCAGCTCAGCAGGTGGATGTGGTCTCCATCTCCATGATTGGCGTGGGCATCATTTCGGTGGTCTTGGTCAGCCTGCTGATCCTGGTGATCGTCCTCATGACGTGCTACCACAAGCGGAAAACGAAACGCATCACAGAGAAATAGTAAGGAACGGTTGCGTGGAAACTTGTGTCGGTTTCCTCCCCTCTTGTGATCAAGCTTGTCTTGTGAGAAGCTCATGAGGACAGGTCGGTCTGAATTTCAGATCCGTGGGACATCGTCCTTGGGTTGGAGAAGCTCAGAGGGATGAAGGAGGATCTTGGGTGGTGAAGGAGGTCAAGGGTGGGATGAAGCAAAACAGGGGAAAGGAGCCATATCTACATTTAGATATGGCGGAAGAAATAGCACTGGTTGATGCTGGTCTCTGTCTAGGACAATGCTTCTCAATCTTGGCCACTTAAAGATGGGTGGACTTCAACTCCCAGAATTCCCCAGCCAGCTCTGCTGGCTGTGGAATTCTGGAAGTTGAAGTCCACCCATCCATGAAGTCGACTCACATTGGGAGTTGAAGTCCACCCATCTTCAAGTGATGAAGGTTGAGAAATATTCTTCCAGGAGTCTGGAAGTTGAAGTCCACCCATCCATGCAGTTGATTCACATTGGGAGTTGAAGTCCACCCATCTTCAGGTTGTGGACTTCAACTCCACTTTGTGGAGAGGCAAGCCTACTCCTTCTTTTGGAGTCAGAACCACGAAATTGAGCTAACGGTTGGGCCTAGGAGGGTGGCATTTTCAGCAAGCCACACCCTCAGTTTCCCCTCTCCTTGTCTTTGGCAGTGAGGAAGAACTGACTTTGACCCGGGAAAACTCAATCCGGCGTCTGCATTCGAGCCACAGCACGGAGACCCGGCATCAGGTAAAAACTTGAGGTGTGATGGTGATGGAGAAGTGTGAAAAACACACAGGTTGGGTTGTGAGTTGTGCAGGAAAATTCATTGCCTTCTGGGTAAATTCAGGACTGGCCATAGGACATGGAATCACAAAGTTGAAAAACCTTCACAGAAAAGGCCACACAGAATAACAGGACCTTGGAGATCATCTAGTCCAACTCCCTGCTTGAGCAGGAAATCCTATACCATACTGGACAAATGGTTGTCCAGTCTCTTCTTAAAAACCTCCAGTGATGGAGCATCCACAACTCCTGGAGGCAAGCTGTTCCTCTGGTTAATTGTTCTCAATGTTAAGAAGTTTCTCCTTAGTTCTAGGTTGCTTCTCTCCTTGATTAATTTCCATCCATTGTTCCTTGTCTGGCCTTTGGGTACTTTGGAGAATAGGGTGACCCTATTTCAGAGAAATGGCTGTCCAGTCTCTCCTTGAAAACTTCCATTGATGGAGCACCCACAACTTCTAAAGACAAACCAAACAATTGATTGGTTAATTGTTCTCACTGTCTGGAAATTTCATCCAGTTGGACTACCATGAGGATAGCTGTCTCCTAATAGCCACACCACTGCAATGCCACTTCTGGACAGGGAGGGGCCATTTAGCTATTATAGCTATAACTCTGCTCAGCCTAGGCAGGTGTCTTTCTTGATTTTTTGTTTTTATTTTCACATCCTGTCCTTTTCATATACTGAGCCACAGAAATCCTCCAGCACTCCCTAGAGGAAGCAAGTGGGAAAAACATGCAGCTAGGAAGCATTTCCAGGTATTTCTTCTGAGAAAATATCCGACATTTCCTCAGTACTTCTGAAGCCTTAGGACATTCATTTAATGTAGGGCTGGTTTGAACTCAGGGCTCAGGGAGACACCCCAGAAAAAGGAAAAAGCCAGAACGAAAATTAGGTTCCATTTCTTGTGACGATTTGTAGAGATGGCCACCCATCTTGTTCTCACAACTCTGGGTGGTTAACGATACGTTTGAAACCTATAAAGATAAAGGCAAAACAATGTTCAGTGTAGAACTGAAGAAGCTTCTTGGGTGAGAAGCAAAACAAAGAAAAAGCACCTTTGGGATAAACCTACAAAGTTAAATCTGCATTATTTAGTATTATGGGAAAGCCTTTATAATAACATAGCATGTTTTGTTTTTGAGAGGAGACAGAGAGACCCAGTTGTCTTTCTATGATTGGAGGCAGGAATTAGTTTGTATAGTTTATTAAAAAGAAGGACTAGGGGTGACATAATAGTATCTTCCAAAATTTGAGGGGCTGCTACAAAAAGGGGGGGGGTCAACCTATTCTCTAAAGCACCAGAGGGCAGGACAAGAAACAATGGATGGAAACTAAACAAGGAGAGAAGCATCCTAGAACTAAGGAGAAACTTCCTGACGGTGAGGACAATTAATCAGTGGAGCAGCTTGCCTCCAGAAGTTGTGGGTGCTCCATCATTGGAGGCTTTAAGAAGAGACTGTGATGGTATAGGATTTCCTGCTGGAGGAGAAGAAGGAGAAGGAGAAGGAGGACTGTGGGGTCCTTGATGCTTTCTGAGCTTGGTTGTTTCTTGAAGACATTTCATGACCCAACTAGGTAATACATCAGGGCTAAAAGTGAGCAGGGGTTGGATTAAGAGACCTCCAAGGACCCTCCAACTCTGTCATTCTGTAATTCTGAAGGACTTCATAACACCTCCGTGGTCCTCCTCAGAGTCTCCTCAGAGTCTGAGCGCTAAGCACCAGGTGAGAGGTCCACCTGGCTGAGCAGGAAGAAAGGACCTCCAGAGAACATTGAGATTAGCTTCTCGCCCTTCTATTTCTCTGCTCTTCAGATTGAGGAAAACCTTCCCCTGAGGGCGGAGAGCCGGCAAGGGAGTTTCCGCGGGGACAGCCTGTGCCGGGAAAGCCTCCGAGCGGACAGTCTCTGCCGGGACAGCAGGCAAGGCAGCTTCCGGACAGACAGCTTCCGGGAGACCAGCCTCTGCTCAGTGATGGTGAGCAGAGTCAAGCAAGGAGGCTGCCTCGGGTGGCTCTGGGTGGCTCAGCTTTGCCAGGCTGGCAGAGTCTAGGATTCTGGGATTTTCATTCTTGCATCCTTTTGTCTTTTTTTTAATGTTGGGTTGATTATGCTGACTAATGTATACGTATATTAACTCATAATGCATGGCTGTAGTATTATTTAGTCCTTTATTACCTATTCCCACCTTCTGCTGGAGGCATACTTTTAATATTAGCATTATTATCTCTAATTTTTTTTGCAAGTACATTGAGTGCTTCTGTACCAGAGACAAATTCCTTGTCTATCTAACCATACTTGGCCAAATAAAGTCTATTCTATTCTATTCTATTCTATTCTATTCTATTCTATTCTATTCTATTCTATTCTATTCTATTCTATTCTATTCTATTCTATTCTATTCTATTCCATTCCATTCCATTCCATTCCATTCAATTCCATCAATATGGTTGTAAAGTGAATCCAGCTTCCCCATTGACTTTACTTGTGAGAAGGTTGCAAAAGAGGATCACATGATCCCAGGGCACTGCAACCATCATAAATATGAATCAGTTGCCAAGCATTTGAATTTTGATGACGTGACCCATGGGGGATGCTGCAACAGTCCTCAGTGGGAAAAACGGTCATAAGTTACTTTTTCAGTGCCATTGTAACTTTGAATGGTCACTAAGTGAACGGTTATAAGTTGTGGATTACCTGTAATGTGTCCAACTTGTGAACTTCTGTGGCTGAGCAAGACCTTGAGTTGGGGGCCAGATCCCCATCTGACACCATCACCCCATTGCCCCTTTGGTGACTCTTCTTCCTTTCGGCCTGCGCAGGGAGAAGACGCTGAGGGACGCAGCTACTCAACCTTATCCACCGTCCGGGAGATTGAGACCCAGACCGAGCTTCCCCCGCCGCCCCCCACCCCTGTCCCAGAAGATCAGATGGAGGAGAAGGAGAAGGAGAAGGAGAAAGAAGAAGAGGAACAGCGGAACGATGAAAACAATATCAAGCAAGCAATGACTCACTTTGTCCAAGAGAACGGCACCCTCCGAGCGAAGCCCACCTCCAACGGCATTTACATCAACGGACGGGGACACTTGGTCTGATGGCTCACCCCCCCTTCCCTGCCAGATTCCCAGATCCAAGCCAGCTCTGAGCCCTCATCCTAACTGCTTCCTGGTACCTCTCTTTTGGGGGGTGGCAAAGAGCCCTTGAGACTCAGGTCCCCTCCTTCTGAGCCACCGGTCCACCGGCTGCAAGCTGTCCACCTTGGGATCTCCTGAAGGCCCCTTCCTTCTTCCCAGGACTTTGGCCAACACCGAAGTCAACTTCTCCTCCAACGTGCAAGAGATCCTGAAGATGCTCAGAGGCCAGTTCAGGAAGTGGGAGATTCTTTTTTTTTTTCTTTCAACTGATCTGGGCTGCCTCTTTGTGCAAATTATTTTTGGAACCTTTTGAGGCCAGGGATGATTCGGGCAGGGAAACGGACGAAGCGTTGGAGAAGGGAGAAGCAAGACCCTAACAGGCTCTACAGGTGACTCGGCTGGGCAAAATCGTTGAAACTCTTGCGTCTTTTATAGTAATTATTAAATCTGCTGTTGTCGTTGTTAAGATGGTCCTTGGTCCATCCTGGAAAAAGGTTCCCAAAGGCCACCAGCAGTTAAAAAGATGAGCTCAGTTTTAATTATTATTTTTATTTGTATTATTAATATGAACTGGGCAAGGAACATTTCCACTATAAGCTTCAAGGACTTTCCAGGAAATGCTGAAGAAAGTATCTGGAGACCCCAACGGAAATCCTTCTACTGGGTCAAGGATGTTCAATGACATGTTTCTGCTTGCCCCGAGGAAGTGTATCATGGGTCCAGGGGTTTTCCAACTCCTAAAGCCATTTAGAAAGTCCAAAACACATCCAAGTGGTGTCATCTCAACATTGGGGATCAAGAACCCTAACCCTAATCCCATCTCCAGTGAACTTCAAGTCCCCCCCATCTCTTTAATTTGTATTTCTTAGCATGCTATAGCTATAAATATTTCTAAAGCTAACCAACAACAATGGAAATACATATGAGCAATACATGTGTGACTCTGAGGACAGATTTTGTGAGTGAGTCTGCATTTTGAGAAGGGGTTTCTCAACCTTAGCAATGTGAAGAAGGGTGGACTTCAACCCCCAGAATTCCCCAGCCATATGGGAATTGAAGTCCACACATCCTAAAGCATGTGCTGGCTGGGGAATTCTGGGATTTGAAGTCCACATTTGACGTTGATGTCTATCTCAGCATATTTAAGATTTGTAGACTTTGGCTCCCAGAATTCCTTAACTAGCATAATTGACTTGGGAATTCTGAGAGTTAAAGTCCACTCACCTTTAAGTCGTGAAGGCTGAGAAACACTGATTTTGAGTTTTAGGGGAATTGCAAAACTGCTCCAAGTCCTCTTTGGGTATGCTTACAAAGTAAGTTTCTTAAACAGCAAGCCTCTCCTTCTCTGATATTTTAAGTCTTTTTGTGCGTACTATACCTCATTTTTCATATTTGCCAAGAGTTACAACTCTGCTGACTAGCTGCCTCCTTCAGAAAACTTTCTGCCCCAAAGTGAAGGTGAAGTGACTCACAATATTGAGGGGGGGGCAACAAATTTGGGGCACCACAGCTCTGAAGGCAGGATCAGGACACTTATCAGGGCTTAGAGGCAAATGCCTCAAAATTTCATCAGTTTTGGGCCTTCTGGGTCCCAGTGTGACCATCTGCCTGGACCCTGCTTTGGTCAATTGCTTAAGACAGGGGTCCCCAACCCCCAGTCCTTGGACCAGTACCGGGCCACAGCATGCCAGCAACCAGGCCGCACAAACAAGCAAAGCCCCATCCATGGGATGCAGGCAGCACACAAAACTGCACACACCCCAGTCCGTGGAAAAACCTCTCTCCACGGAACGGGTCCCTGGTGCCCAAAAGGTTGGGGACTTCTGGCTTAGGAGATGAGATGATGGGAAGACTGGCCGATCTATCTCAGAGATTGGCTCATTCAGACATGCACTTCCTGGAACTGCCGCAGCTGAATTAACAAACCCAAATCTCCCCTTCGAATCTGCCGTAAACTGAGCTTGGTCCTTAGCATCCGTGAATACAGGCAGTCTTCAGCTTACGAGCTCAATGGAGCCCAAAATTTATGTTGCTAAGTGAGAAATTCAAGTGAGTTTGCCCTATTTTACCATCTTTCTTGCAGCAGTCAGTAAGAGAATCACTGCAGTTGTTAAGTTAGTGACATGGTTGTTAAATGAATCTCGCTTCCCCATTGACTTTCCTTGTCAGAAGGTGGCAAAAGGGGATCACGTGACCCCTGGACACTACGACTGTCATAAATGTGAGTCAGCTGTTAAGCATCTGAAGTTTAATCACATGACCATGGGGACGCTGCAACGGTCATAAGTGGGAAAAACAGTCATAAGTGCTGTTGTAATTTTGAACAGTCACTAAATGAACCGTTTATTTAGCGACCGTACGAAGTTACGACGGCAGTGAGAAAAGTGACTTATGACTGTTTTTCATACTTACGAACATTGTGGCATTCCCATGGTCACACGGATCACAATTTGGGTACTTGACAACTGGCATGTCCTTAATGACAGTTTTGCAGTGGCCCAGGGTCACATGTACATCATTTGCAACCTTCCCAGCCAATTTCTGACAACATCAAAGGGGAAAGCCAGATTCGCTTAACGACTGCACGATTCGCTTAACAGCAGCTGTGGTCTTGCTTAACAATCCTGCCAAAAAAGCTCATAAAATCAGATGCGAGTCACTTAACAACCGCCCTGCTTAGCAATGGAAATTCTGGTCCCAATTATGGTTTTATGTATGAATAATTCCATATTTATAGTATTCTCCAAAGTCCTGATTTTTCTATAAAACCTAGTTCCATAATGAGTTTTGAAGCACTGTCAATAAAATCTCTCTTTTTGTAGATATCTGCCTATTTTATTATTTTCTTTCTATTTCACAATGAGAGAAAATGAAATAAATAATAAAATAAAATAAAATAATGAATGACTCCCCTGCTCCCCCCCCCCCAATTTTCTTGTCCTCCAGGAGTTCCCACCAGTGACTTCATGGTACCTTCTGCCAGTCCTGGAGATGCCCAAGCCTGTCATAAATTTGGCCCAGGAAATCTGAATTTATTTAAATTAGCTCAGGACTAGGCAGGACTAGTGAGCAGGGATCCTTTTCTGATTGGGAGCAATGATTTCATGCAATGTTTCTCAAGGTTGGTCACTTTAAAAGGCATGGACTTCAACTCCCAGAATTCCGTTCCTCTTAAAGTGACCAACCTTGAAAAACACTGATTTAATGATGACAAAGATGACAAAGTTTAAATTCCCCATTTAATCCTGATCTGATTCTACTCCAGTATTTGTATCCATTCAGGATGTTAATTCAGACAAATCTTTGAATTAAGTGTAGTTTCTTCCATAACAGTTTGAACCATTAAAACCTACATGAAGATCCCAAATAGTGCCATTCAAACTGAACAAATGCCTTTCATTGAACATGCCAAATATATTTAAATTGCCCTAGCTTTAGGAGAGATGTATTTCATCAATTTGTTTTCTAACAATAAATATTTTCTGAATGACCATGTTCACCCTGGCAGTCAGTCAGCAAATAAACAATTAGTCACACCTATAATGAGGGTAAAGTGTTCTAAATTGCATCCGGATGGCCCTCTTTTGATTAAAAAAGATGAAAAGGAATTAAGTTAATAAATAGGAATAAAAAGTCCATGAAATAGAGGGAGGTGCCTGAGAAGATGAAACCCCTCTTCAAATATTTGGTTTATTCAACACTTTTAAAAATTGGTTTCCTAACTTTTAAAATAAGGATCTGCTGAATTGTGTGAGTTTTTACAAGATTATGACTTCATTTAGAGAATTTGCTTTACCAACCCAGATGGTCTTTTGTAAGATGGGTCTGCAGAGTTATTGCAATACAGATGCATTGGGGGGGGAAATATCACTCAAAATTTTCATTTTTATTGATTTTCAAGGCTGAGAATCTTGAAGTGCAATTTTCCCTGGGGAATAGTTGTTAAGTGAATCTGGCTTCCCCGTTGACTTTGCTCGTCAGAAGATTGCAAAGGGGGATCACCTGACCCCGGGACACAGCAACTGTTGTAAACATGAGTCAGTTGATAAGCGCCTGAAGCTTGATAACGTGACCTGGGGATGCTTCAATGGTCTTAAGTGTATAAGTGTATATGTCACTTTTTTCAGTGGTGTTGTAATTTTGAACAGTCACTAAATGAACTGTTCATATAGAGACCGTAGGAAGTTACGATGACACTGAGAAAAGTGACTTATGACTGTTTTCCATACTTACCATGTGACCTTGGGACCGTCATAAATATGATGTCCAGTATCTGAAATTTGATCACGTGACCCTGGGGATGCTTCAATGGTCTTAAGTGTGAAAAACAGTCATAAGTCACTTTTTTCAGTGCCGTTGTCATTTTGAACGGTCACTAAATGAACTTTTGTTAATCAAGGAGTACCTGTAATATGTTAAATATGAGAAATGAACCAATAAGCTACAGAAATGAACTAAACAGGCCGGGTTTACACAACGTGCCAAGCAGAATTAACCTAACCAAGTTTACATGTTATCCACATCTAGGTTTTTAATTGACTCCTTTCAGCATGTTAAACAAATCCAGAGATTGAGCATGATTTTGAAAGAAATCTCTCCAAGGGTCAATTTGCTAGAAATCTTGATTTTCCTGGAAACATGACAGAGAATTTGTGGGATCCAATATGTCTATTTTAATTTCCCTCCCTCCTTCCTCTGAATGTCACAACTATCGCAATGGGACTCTTTGGAAGTAAATTTGACAGACTCCAGACTTTTAGAAGCCTTTTAAATATGTATTAATATTGTTATTAGCCTTTTTTTTTAAAGTGTGAGGAAGTGAGCAGCTGTCTTTCTATGATCTGTAAATGTCTTTGTATATAGAAAAAAAGCCATGTGTGTCTGTCTTCCTGTATGTGTGCGTTGTTCGCGCAGGTGCGTGTGTGTAAAATACTCTGTAAGTGTGTATAGAACGGGACTTGGGGTAGGCCTTGTCAGGTGTAACATGCTCTGCTGGTTTTGTAAATAAATTGCACTTTTGCCATCCCAGAATCCCGCTTTTTGATAAACATTTAAATCTTGGGTTTTTCTCTACTTCTAATCTAAGCCACCATGAAGGATAAGTGTCAAAAATAGCACTGTATATATTGAAGAAGTAGGAAGGTTCAAATGTTTTGTTTTATTTGGTGATCCATCAATTTTTGCACAAGCCCCAAAAGTGTAAGTGTGCAAATGTACACATTCCTCTCAGACTCAGGTGTCGGTTCTTGGAAGCCTGGGAGTTGAAGTCCACAAGTCTTAAAGTTGCCAAGGTTCAAAACCCCTGGTCTAAAAGGTTCTCATAAGTTGGTAAATTTCTCTCTCTGTGTGTGTCTCTCTCTGTCTCTCACTCTCTCTCTCTGTCTCTGTGTGTGTGTGTGTGTGTGTGTGTGTGTCTGTCTGTCTGTCTCTGTCTCTGTCTGTCTGTGTCTCTGTCTTTCTCTCTGTCTCTCTGTCTCTCTGTTCTCTCTCTCTCTCTCTCTCTCTCTCTCTCTCTCTCTCTCTCTCTCTGTCTCTGTCTGTCTGTGTCTCTGTCTCTGTCTCTCTCTCTGTCTCTCTGTCTCTCTCTGTGTGTGTGTCTCTGTCTCTCTCTCTGTCTGTCTCTCTGTGTCTCTCTCTGTGTCTCTCTCTGTCTCTCTCTCACTGTGTCTCTATCTGTTTCTCTGTCTCTGTGTCTCTCTGTCTCTGTCTCTGTGTCTCTGTCTTTCTCTCTGTCTCTCTGTGTCTCTCTCTGTGTCTCTCTCTGTCTCTGTCTCTCTCTGTGTGTTTCTGTGTCTCTGTCTGTGTCTCTGTCTCTCTGTCTCTCTGTCTCTGTGTGTGTGTGTCTCTGTGTGTGTCTCTCTGTGTGTGTGTCTCTGTCTCTCTCTGTCTCTCTCTGTGTGTCTCTGTCTCTCTGTCTCTGTCTGTCTCTCCATGTGTGTGTCTCTCTGTCTCTCTGTCTCTGTCTGTCTCTCCATGTGTGTGTGTGTCTCTGTCTGTCTGTCTCTTTCTCTCTGTCTCTCTGTCTCTCTCTCTCTCTCTCTGTCTGTCTGTCTCTTCCCCCCCCCTCTCTCATACACACATAGGGCAATTTTGCCCATGGTTATATCTCTGCCATCCTCAAACACCATAGAAAAACATCACCCCATCCCTGCTTCAGCCAATGGTGGAGAAGCATTGGTATTACCATCAAGCTATAGGTCCTAAATCTCCTAACATTTAATAAAAACCCATTTGTGAAGATATCAAGCAGAATAACAGAGTTGGAAGGGACCTCAGAGGTCTTCAAGTCCAACCTCTGGCTCAAGTAAGAGACCCTATCAGGCAAATGGCTGTCTGATCTTTTCTGGAAAGCCTCCCGTGATGGAGCCTTCACAACTTTTGAAAGCAAGCCATTCCATTGGTTAATTGTTCTCATTGTCAGAAATAACAGAAGTTGGAAGGACCTTGGGGGTCTTCTAGTCCAACCCCTTGGTCAACCAGGAGACCCTATACCATCCCAATCAAATGGCTGTCCAGTCTCTTCTTGAAAACCTTCAATGATGGAACACACACAACTCCCAGAGGCAAGACGTTCTACTGATTAATTGCTCTCACTGTCAGGAAACTTCTCCTTAGTTGAAGATTGGATCTCTCTTTAATAATCTTCCACCTATGACCTCTTGTCCTGCCCTCAGGCCCTTGACACCATGATTTTCTGGCCCTCTCACCATAACCTCCTCCTCATCTGCTAATGGGGACAATCAAAAAGGCAAGATTGCAAAGCCATAAGCCTTAGTCCTTCACCCTCCAAGTGTCAGCTTGTGACAAAGCAAGGAGGCTTTTGTTGAAAGCTGTTAGCTTGTGCTTTGTGGTTTCGGAGATGCTGTGTAGGGGAAGTTGTGTTTGGAGACAAGCTGAACTCACTTCCTGTCAGGTCTGAGTAAGAACAGAACAATTTTTAATGAAAAAAAAGGGGGGGCACAGATTTTCTACCTTGCCCTCGTATACCGCTGTATGCTTTGCGGCAATCTTCCAGTTGGCCAGGAACCACACTTCTGGTGGCCCCGTGGTTGCAAAGACGGATCTTCCAACCTTTCTGAAGGACGTTGGCTGTGTTGAGCAGAGGCCACAGAAGGTAGAATGAATTTAAGGAAGCAGAAGATTGCCATGGGCCAGTAAATGAGTACTAGAGAGCCAGGAATTCAACAATCAACAGGTTTTTCCTGAGGACCAATGGACTTGACCCAGCCTTGGAAGGAGAAGTTGGTACGAGGGTGTAAGTGTTGAGGAAGAGGAAGAGTGGAGCTCCTTCGCACCCATGTCGCTGGCCATGAAAGCTCGGCAGAAGGTGAAACGGAAAGGACCGGCAAAAGATCGGGTCTTTGGGTGTGATCTGGTGGAACATCTACAGTCATCTGGCCATGATAGTAAGTGATTTTCTTTTCGAAGACCTGCATGTTTTTCAGGCTCCTTATGGGTCCATTAGCCCAAACAGGAAATGGGGTGAGGTGAGAACTTCTGCTAAACAACAAAGTTTGTTCTGAATCTGCTTCATTGGTTTTCTGAGAAGGCTCCACGCTTGGATAATTTATAGTCTCCAGAAGGGACTTGGAGGCCCTCTAGTCCACAGTCTGGGTGTTGAAGTCCACAACCTTAAGTTGGCAAAGTTGGAGGTCCCTGTTCTAGACCAACCTATGCAGAAGTACCAGGTCCCTTATTTATTTATTTTATTTATAAAATTTATTGGCCGCCCATCTTAGCATAGGCCAGGGTAACCCTGGGCAGCTTACAGTAATTAAAGTATGTCTATACATGTACATTAAAACATAAATCAATTAAAATCAAACAAAATCTGAGGGCAAACTCCAGATGCATTACCAGATATTCACCAAGCATGCTCCAAGATTAACAATTGCATCATGTTAAAGGACAAATAAAAAATTTAAACCCAACTGCATTATAAAAGCAACATTAAAAGCAATGTTTGTGTCTATTAAAAGACTAAGCAATGAAACTGGGAGGAGGAGGAGGAGAACTGTGGGGTCCTTGGTGCTCTCTGAGCTTGGTTGTTTTCTAGCAGATCTTTCATTACCCAAACTAAGTAAACCACACTTGGAATGCTGCATCCAGTTCTGATCACCATGATACAAAAAAAGATGTTAGAGTCTAGAAATTTCCTGACAGTGAGAGCAAATAACCAGTGGAACAGCTTTGCCTTCAGAAGTTGTGGGTGCTCCATCACTGGAGGTTTTCAAGAAGAGACTGGACAGCCCCGTCTGAAATGGTATAGGGTCTCCTGCTAGATCAGGGGGTTGGACTAGAAGACCTCCAAGGTCCCTTCCAACTCTATTGTTCTGTGTTAGACACACAGAACAATAGAGTTGGAAGGGACCTTGGAGTGAAAATTCCTTTATGGTTGACATGATCCTTATCTGCTGAGCTTACAAAAGCTGGAGATACTCAGCAAAATTTCTGTGAATCACCCTGGACATTCACGTAGGGCCATTTCATTACCCAGTGGCAGGAGATACCCAAAAAAATTCAGGGGTGCCTTAAAATGGAGTCCCAGAGAGAGGACAGCCATGGTAGTCAATGGTAACCAAAAATCAGGATTTCTGTGGCACCTTCTCTGATTAGCAAGCTTTATGAAGCCACATAAGCTTTGATGAGCTGATAAGCTCGGATGTCGTGACTTGTGTCTCATGCAAGTTTATGACTTTTAATTAAAGTTGCTAACTAGGCAAGGCACCACTGGGTTTATTCTGATCCACAGTGGGCTGAAATTGCAACCTATATGGATGAACTCAGTTTTAGAGCTGAGAAATTGTTGTTTCACTCCAATTTTAAGCATCCACTTTAAATGTTTGTTGTTTCTGAAATGGATATTAACCGCCGTGCTGGGTTTGATATTAGTAAAAAGATGCTATATTTATTGGATGTTATTCTTTTGTATGATTGTCATATTGAACCTCAGATTATGGATTAATGCTGAAATTGCTGTGTCGTTTTGCTGTTACCTCAACCACCATATTGAACATGAGCTCAGTTTCACTTTCCTGTCCTTCCTTGTTTGAACTACATGCACACACGGTTTAGCCAGAAAGTTCTAAAGAAAGCTTCTTAAACTTTTACATTCAGGTGTAAAAAGGAAAACTGTTGGCATATGGAATAATTGCCTGGAAATAATAATAAGCAGAAACATATGTGATATATTGTGCAGACCAGTTCCAATTGCATCATTCCTAATACTCCATTCACAGTATTCATGGTTGAAATTAAAATAACTATGGGGCACTGAATGTTTATTTTTACTTTTTTTTATTTGATTATTAAATTTATATGCTCCCCATCTCACTGTCTTGAGTGACAATGTTCCATGGTGCACAGCTAGAAAATATTTCTAATAAAGAAAACAGAGCATCTTTGACTATTCTTGGTAAAGTTTCCTGCAAACTCCATATTAAATAGTAAAAGATATTCAGTAATGTAAGTTTATGATGAAAAATATCAAACCCAAGTTGAAAGCAGTGATATTCAAACCCACAGTGGCATCCCACCATTAATACAGAATAAAAGGTAGTCCTCGGCTTACAAAAATTCATTTAGTAACTGAAGTTAAAATGGCAGTGGAAAAAGGGAATAGTGACCGTTTTTCACATTTACAACCATTGCAGCATCCCTGTGATCGTGTGATCAAAATTCAGATGCTTGGCAGCTGACTCGTATTTATGATGGTTGCAGTGTCCTGGGTTCAGGCGATCCCCTTTAATTGTGTTAATGGGGAAGCCAGATTCACTTAACAACTGTGTTAAGTTGAGTTGTTTGCAATAATGGTGAATATCTGTAGCTTGGGTGTAGGATGAGGGTGAAAGTTCATTCTCCGAGCTTGTGGGTTGGTTTCTGAATGTTTCGTTACCAAGCTAGATAATGTCTTCAGCGGAGTTTAGTTCAACTTCAAGATGTTACTTAGCCTGGTAACGAAACGTTCAGAAACCAACCTAGGAGCTCAGAGAACGAACCTTCACCGTCATGTTGAGATGTGTTACCAATTCAACAGCTCAACAGCTGCAGTGATTCACTTAACAACTATGACAAGATAGGTCATAGAGTTGGGCAAAATTCACTTAACAACAAAAATGTTGGGCTCAACTGTGGTTATAGGTCAAGGACTACCTGTACAGAATAAGAGAATTGAAAGGGACCTTGGAGGTCTTCTAGTCCAGGGCTTTTCAACCAGTGGTACGGGTACCACCTGTGGTACATTGGCACCTGGCAAGTGGTACACGACCATCCTAGAAAAGTGGTAGCGGGGGAGGGGAATGAGCTGAACTGGTGGCAGCACCGCACAAGCCTGAGCAAGAGATACCTGGAGCTGCAGGGCTGTCAGGGCTCAGCGGAAGCGCCGATCAGCTGGAACGTTGTAGCACAGTGGTGGCGAACCTATGGCACGGATGCCAGAGGCGGCACTCACAGCCCTCTCTGTGGGCACGCGCGCCGTCGCCCCAGTCCTAGGCCTTCAGCTGGGTTTTATAAAACCTTTTTGTTTTAGGCCTCCACCGCCGTGTGCAAAAAAAAAAAGGTTCAATCAATCAGTCAATTTCAACTTCTTGCGGGAAAAAAAAGATCTTGCAAAGTTGGAATTGATTGATTGAACTTTTTAGTCCCACCCAGTCTGCTGTTACCACTGCAGCCATGCCCATCCAATGGGCCACACCCACCCAATGGGCACTCGGTCTCTAAAAGGTTCGCCATCACTGTTGTAGCATCTCCAGGGTCTTGTGATTTACATTCAGATTCTTGGCAACTGATTCATATTTATGATGGTCACAGTGTTCCAGAGTCATGTGAAGTGACCAAAACCTGCTGCAACCACCCAGCAGACGGGGGGAATAAAAACCAAACACTCCCCACCCCCGCTGCCAATCCTCAACAGAAATGCTCACAACAATGAAAACCTCGGACAGGAGGAAGAGTGCAGCTGGGCGGGCAGGTCGGTGTCTTGCTCGGCTGTGACTTGGGGGGCACTTTTATCAGTGCCATTGTAACTTCGAACAGTCACTAAGCGAACTCTTGTAAATCAAGGACTACCTGTACTTTATCACTTTTTTCCTTTTTTTCCCTGGTCATCGAGTTTTGACACCTTGCTAGGCGACTGGTGGTACTCGGATGTTGCCATATCCTAAAAGTAGTACAACGGGTGAAAAGGTTGAAAAGCCCTGTTCTAGTCCAACCCCCTACTCAAGCAGGAAACTCTATAACATGTCAGGTAGGTGGCTGTCCAATCTCTTCATAAAACCCTCCAGTGTTGGAGCACCCAGAACTTCTGAAGGGAAACCGTTCCACTGATTAATCATCCTCGCTGTCAGGAAATTTCTCCTTAGTTCCAGTTTGCTTCTCTCCTTGATTGATTTCCATCCACTGTTTCTTGTCCTGCCTTCAGGTGCTCTGGAGAAAAGGTTGACACCCCCCTCCTTCTCTGAGACATTGGAAGATGCTATCATGTCACCCTTAGTCCTTCTCTTCATTAGACTTGATAAGTTATACTAATTTATTTCTTATTCCAAGTTATCATAGCATGGATCCTGGTAGTCGTCTTATTTCTGTCCTGAGAAGTCCTGGTTACCACCCAATATTTTAAGATGGAACAAAGATTTGATATCATGGAGCAAGCTGAGTTTCTCATGAGGCTGTCACAGAATGGCTGAGAGGGTGGATGAGCTGATGACCCATTTTTCAGAAGATAAGTTGAGGGGAATCATCCATCCAAAATCTCCAGACCTACAGTCAGCCAGTGAAAAGCAGGTCAAGGCCATTTGTCAGCTCCCATTTGGCTAGAAAGCTATACTAGAAAATGGAGATCAATGGTTGACTCTCTCTGGGAATCTTTGACAACTTTAAGATGGGTGGACTTCAACTCCCAGTGTCCCCCAGCCAGGAACCTGGCTCTTGGTCTTTTGCTTATCAGGATCTCTTCAAAGGTGGCTGTGGTTTTAATAACTATTTTCACTTAAAAAAATTAGACAGGAAGCTATTTGCCACAAAGTTCTAGAATCAATGTTTATTTCTATGATTACATGTATCTCTCACCTAGCCTTACAAACATTGTTTGCAAATAAAAATGGTGGCTAGCTTGGTTTAAAAGATGCTCACTTGTCCCCAAAGCAGTGTCTCTCAACCTTGGCCACTTTCAGTTGGGCAGACTTCAACTCCCAAAATTCCTCAGCTAACAGACTCACTGGGGAATTTTGGAAGCTGAAGTCCACCCATCTCAAAGTTGCCAATAATTTTTCCCTCAAATATTAAGCATAAACTTTAAGTGTTTACTGTTCTGAAATGAATATTAGACACGGTCCACATTGTATTTCCTGGCTGGGGAATTCTGGAAGTTGAAGTCCACACATTTCTACGTTGTCAAGGTTGTGAAACC